TCTAAAGAAAGCAACCACATTTATGATAATAGACCACACGGTAGAGGCTGTGGTGGTTGAGGTAATTACAACTCGTACAGCCATGGACAAGGGAACCACAATAACCGTGCTCGTGGTCCCAGCTATGGCCGTGGCCGAGGTGGCATATCTAATCCATCTCACTCGACCAAATCGTTTTGCCACAGATGTGGAATGGGGAATCATTGGGCTAAGACATGCAGAACTCCTAAACATTTATGTGATCTCCATTGAGAGAATCTGAAAGGAAAGAACCCAGAAGCCCATTTGGTCCATGATGGAGATGGTGATTTCGATCATGATAATGATGATCCCATAAGTTATAGAAAGAAAAAAAATTGCCTAAGGCCATAAGCAAGTGGTCAAGACTATACCTGCATCCTCTACTGATCTTTACTATGCCAAGATCAGTATGATAAGAGGCAAATACCATGGTAACCAAGGTGTTTACCACGAAATTATTCACTTTATGGCATGACCGGATCGGCCATCCTGGTCCAAACATGATGCGAAATTGATAATAAAAAGGGCACAAAGAGTTATCCAATAGAATCTCACGTGTGTAGCATGACCACAAGGGAAACTCATTAGGCCATGACGTCCCAAGAACTTAAATATTATAGTATGTCCATGAGGGGACAGTGAGGACAAATCCGTACATGTCCATACTATAAATAGCTTGGCTAAATCCTTTTATAAATCAGTATTGGCCATTACCCATAGGTCCAAAATCTCAGTCCAAGGCTTGGGAACACACGAATTTACATGTATCTGAACTAATAGCATCAGCCATTTTAGTGAGCAAAGATATTCCCATCTCAAATTGATTACGGGTTAAGAGCCAGACATATGTGTCGTCTAAGATGGATTTCTAAGAAGAAAATGGGGATATATGTTGGATATGTTTTCTCCCACGAATATTAATACCTAGAGCCGACCATGGGTCATTAGTTTGGGGCCAGGTACACAGATTGCATATATAATGAATCCGACTATCCAACATCTGGGGGAGAAAATAATAAGCTGGTAAAATAATGAAAAGAGAAATAGAATGGAATAAACCATCATTGTCTAGGCAAGATCCTCGGACTAAATAAAGTGAAATAAGACGTCCAAAGATAAATACAAAGATTATACATTTATAAGCTAGCTAATCAAATGTCAGACACATTTGCTTACCCGAAAAGAAAAGAAAAGAAAAAGAATGACTAAGTCATACTAGCTTGCACCAAAAATTTGATGTCCTAAAGAGACACAGTCAAGTTGCTACAGAGTCTAGACAAGGTAGACTAATAAGTTCCATGAGATAAGAATCCTCGGAAAGAAAAGAGAAAGGTACATAGAATGATAACAAATCTGAGGTCAAAGGAATACAGACCAGACATGGAGACAAGGCTGGCCAGTTGAATATCTATGGTACCAAACCATGTAGCTTGGGACGCCAAGCTGCTAGGTAATAAAAGTCCTAGATAATAATATGAAATCCATTAGATCATGTCTGTAACACCATGGAACCACATAAGAGTGTCGACACATAGATGATAGATTCATTTAAGGAAGCACATAAAGGTAGCACTTAAACTTATAGATATAAAGCGAGGATCATGAACCCACACTATAGAGTACTCATAAGATCATATTAAATGGAAACGTGGGGTTAGAGTATCTAGAGAAAGAGAGGCGTATTAGCCATATATATAGAGAGATGCCATATAATATATATCAGTGGATGTAAATGGGTCTTGTGAGGGAAAGAAACTCGTGAGATGTAGAACATGATCACGTGGTCTGAAGTTGTCATCTTTTTACTTACAGCATTCAAGCATGACTTGTTACACAAAGATTCTCACAGAGATCAGGAATAGACTATGAGGAGATATACTCCTATGTGGTGAATGCTACTACATATTTCTAATTGATAAGGTCGGGTCATAAGAAAGAAATTAGATTAACATATTAAGGATGTAGTAAGCTGTATATGGTCCACTGGATAATAATGATAAAGGAACCAGAAGGTATTGAGCTCAAAGATGAGAAAAGAAATTCTCAAGAAACATCATTGTATAAAGCTGAACTGTTTGTGGACTGAAACAAAGCAGCTTCATATAGTATGATAGATACTTAGTGAAATAAAGTTATAAGAACAAGTCAAATCAGTCCATGTATCCTTATAAAAAGAAATTTGATTTCCTTGTGTGTATTTTATACTAACCATCCCAAAGAGGGATTATTTGGTTTTAGTGTTGATTTGTTTTCAGACAGGTTATGTTTTATACATGATGGTACACGTATTCACAGCAACATCATCGTGTGTGTGTGTTTGGTCGAGAGTGTGTGATGGTCGGTAGGATGATCAATCACATCCGCATGGACCATAAAACAATCCGTAAGCGCTTGCGGTCGAGGTCCATCCAAGTAAGGTGGTCGACGATAAAAGAGACACATCCATGTGGATAGTATCCGTATCTGTGAGTATGATTTGGTCGAGGACCATAAATCAACATGCTCGACCAGATTATGGAGTGGACCACAACAAAGAAGCACATCCTGTCCAAGTATTCATCGCCCACGAGTTAGAGAGAGAAGTACAAGTAGTTCAAATTCATTCAAGCTGAAAGACTCAAGATTGAAAGACTTCAGTGATGCTCAAATCAGGGGGAGTAATACGTGTTGTACTATTTTTTCCTTATCCATGGTTTTATCCGGATTTTGTCCCTTTTTACTGGAAATGTTTTAATGAGGCAATATTCAAAGCGTATTACAAGCTCTATATTGTTATGACATCCAAGAGGGAGTGTTATGAACCAATTAGTGGATGAGCCATAACCATATTATCTAGGCCCAATCCGTGTAGTCTATATGACAGTTTAGACTTAGCCTTTTCCATATTTATATTGGCTTTGTACTTTCCATTTATCTGCCATGTAATCCTATAAGGGATCTTATGTTATGAGTAATAATACACACCAATTATTATTCTCCCATTAGTTTACAGCAATTATGTTATCTATACCAGGATATAAATGATCAAATATATATTTTTCAGTTAGAGTAAAGCTAGCTTTCAAATACACAGGGCCATAGGAATCGGGAGAAGTTTTTGACTGGGGTCAATACTAAGTTCAACATGTTGATAATAAAAATTGACTGGGTACTAATTATGGAATTGATCAACAACATTTCCAAAGCTAATGGTGGTGTATCCGTATTTGGTGGAGTAGGCGAACAAACTCGTGAAGGAAATGATCTTACATGGAAATGAAAAAATCTGGAGTCATTAATGAACTAAACCTTGCGGAATCCAAAGTAGCCCTAGTCTACGGTCAGATGAATGAACCTTGCTGACCCTCCTACCCTTTACTTGCCTCCGCCCCTAATAGTTACTCTAGCGAACCAGTTAGATTGTGCTTGCTTTGTTTTCACTGTTGTAATCTCACTCTCTAGACAAACCTCATGTACGGTTTCGTCTTTTGAACACATGCAAAGTTTGAAGTTTATCAAATTGTTTGCTAATTTTATTTTATGATTGCTTGTCATTGTTTTTGATCGTGTTAAGTTTCATCTCCTACGTGAAGGTTTTGGAGCTTGAAATATATCAACAAAGGATTGCTATCCATTGCTGGCTGTCAATTAGAGCCTTAGCAAAGAGGGACGATACTTTTGTAAACAGACATAAGCCATCAGTACGTCTTAAACAATGGAAACCAATTGTAGGGGTGGGCAAGGATGGCATATCTGGAGTTTTGAAAGTATTTGTGATTTAATTCGTATGATAAGGATATCTAATTTTGGTATTTGCTTTGCTTCGGAAAAATATGGATATCCGGAAAAACGGATATCCAGAAAGTAAATAGATATTTGCGGATGTTTATGAATACTTACGGATATCTCATCTGTTTTGATTTATACATGTAATCTTAAAAATATGATACAAATTCCTTTTTGTAAAATATTTTTTGCATGATATATAAAATAAAAATTAAAAAATAGTGAATTTACATATTTTCTAACATTTTTAAGTTTTATTTAATAATTATAATAACACAAAACTTAAGAAAGTTATAATTGTCATAAGAAATGTCTCTTATTTTTATATAATATATACTTTTATATTAGTAATAATATGAACAGAATTGGTCAAATCATGTGCTAGAATAACAATTATATAATTTTATACATTTAAAATTTTAGATATTATTAAGATATACATGTATTTTTATATTTCTGGATCAGAGCGGATATCCGCTTCCCACAATTTTAATATTTGTGATTTGTTTCGATTTTAACGGATATTGATTTATAGTATTTGCTTCGATTCAAAAGTTTACGGATATCCAGAATTTTCTGATCGAATCGAAGCGAATAACGAATCAAATCAAATTTAAGGGATAAAATGTCCAGTCCTAACCAATTGTACAAACATGAAAACTAAGCTCTTTATTATTACAGAAAAAGGTTATATATCCTTCACAAGTGTATTAAGCTAGGTTCAAGGCTTAATACACACAACACTCAGGGTTCTCAATTGTATTATCACCTAAATTGTGTTAAGTTTCATCTCCAAGTTGAAGGTTTTGGAGCTTGCAATATATCAACAAAGGATTGTGCTAACGATTGCTGGCGGTCAATTGCTATAGAGCCTTAGCAAAGATGGGGATACTTTTGTAAACAGACAGAAGCCATCAATACGTCTTAAACAAATGAAACCAATTGTAAAAACATGAAAACTAAGCTCAGAAAAGTAAAGGCTATATGTCCTTTACTAGTGTATTAAGCTTGGTCCCAGGCTCTATTACACAGCACACAGGGTTCTATCGTCTTATCTCCTAACTATGAGAGCAACATTATTGCTGAGACAAAAATTAAGTGACCACAGAAAGGCAAAACAATAATAACTTGGCAAGTATAAGTAATAAGTAATCAATAATACAGATCTTATTAGCTAATCAAACAAAATAAAAATCATCGTTTAGTCCTAAGTTTCAAGTTTCAAGGTAGTTGATGTTCTCACTCGGATCCATAAACTCCAGGTCAAAACATTTTGCCTGCTTGCCAAACCAACGATCCGGTATCCCTTTGATGTCAACTTTTTTCAGATCATTGGTTTGGAGATCATAGCAAAGGAAGTAAAAGGGAGAAACCAACTTGAGCGGTACCAAAATAATCTTTCCGTTTAACATTGTACCCTTTGGCTTCAATCGATTGTCAATGACTAGATGCATCTGAGAAGGCTGCAAAGTCAGAGTCTTCATCGACCACTCTTGCTTCCTCCAATCTTCTACAACCCACAGATCCACGGTACCACTTTCCTTAAGATAGGTGTAGTCAAAAACTGCTACTTTTCCACCATAGTGTATTTTAGCCACCCACTTGTCTAACATAGGTAGCACATCTCCAGGCTTCCGAGGTACTTGCAACATACTGAACTCCTCGGAGTTGATGTCGAAACTCACAAGCACGCAAGTATGAGAATCAGTCCAAGCCAAATAATATAAAACACCCTTAATAGTCAGTTCTAGTGGGTCAGGAAAATGAGGATGAAAATCTTTTGCAACCCTTTTCCACGAACCACCAGCTTCTAGTACTAAAACCCAACGCTCTGATGACATTATCGTTTGCATATCTTCTGATAGTACCGTAATAGTGCAGAGTACTTTGTACTGATCCTTAAGAGGGTCGTAACAGATAAAGTAGGAGATGTTATATTTATCAACTTCAGCTAAGATCTTGGATTCAACGGCAGGTAAGATGATAAGTTGTCTGGTGCTAGGGTTATAGATCCGTGCCTCCTTTTTGAACACTGTAAAGCTAATGAAGCCACGTACAGCTCGCAAGTAGTAACCTCCCATGTTAGGGATGGTCAGATCTTGGTCGAATACAATTGAAGAAGGAGAAGCAGGGCTTGATAAGAGCACAGACTTGGAGTAGTTGGCTTGATCCAATAAAGACATGTAAAGACGTGGTTGACGTTGGGTTGGGAACATAATGAAACGGTTGCAAAAGTATCTGGAGCACAAGAGAGATGACCAAAACTTCGAGATGCACTTGAATCTCATTACCGATTTCGCAGGCAATCTCGCCATAATCTCGATCAAGAGATCCATAGGAATCTCTCTTCTTCTTCTTCTTCTGCTCCTTCTTTTCCAACTCCTCTTCATTCCTCTTTTTTGTACCGCGACTGCAAGAAGAAAAGACAAACCCATGTCGTCTATCAACAATAATGTTCAATCCCCCCCTCCAAACTTTATATATCCCTCTTGCAGCAAGTTTCCTTTTTTTTAATTGTATCGAAAAATATAAGAACTCCTTTTTCCAGATGTTGGCAAAAGAGACAGGACAGAGTAAGTAGCCGAACTCTGAAGACGCGATTTAGGGTTTGTTGTTTAATAATCATAAACAAAACGAATTGTATAATCCTACTAATACAAGAAATTTTTAACGAAAAATCTTAAACGAAACCTAATTATAAAATCAGTAATTTTCCATTTTTGAAAACCTAAATAAAATAAAATTGTAAAAATAATTTTCTAATTTTCTTATAAATAACTAACTTCCTTTTTAATAAATACATTTGTGTTAAAAAAAAAAATCCTTTATACTATAAAACATAAGTCACTTAACAATTCTCCAAATTACATGTGTCATTTCTGATTTTTTTTTTTGTTTTGGAAATAATTTATTACAAATTTTAGATTTTTTTTAAAAAAAAAATGGTTTCTAAAACTTTACCACGTTCACAAAAATCATTTCATCTACAACTCCTAAAATATAGCAAGTTTCAAACGGTTTCTTTTCCTAAACTTTCGATCAATTTGTTTTTTCTGTCTGCTCTTCATTTTTTCTCCCTACAGATACGTGTTTATAATTATTTGTATACAAGTTCAATATTTTCTTCTTTAACTTGGTACTCTTTTTTATTTTTTGCATGATTCACAATTTCACATTCAAGATATCAGTGGATTTTCCTCCTCTTTAAGAGCTTAGTTCTTCCCAATAAATGGATAATCAAATCACGGTAACAACCCAGGTAACAGTAATTATACATGATCTATTATATAAAGTATAAATTCAACAATTTTCTCTTATCTTTTTGACAAAAAGGATTGACTATTTACAAACTTGACACTTATATTCAGTTAACCATAAAAAATCTGTTTTAAGCTTTTTTCTTCTAGAATTTTTGCTTTATTATCGTTATAGGACAAAAGAAAAACTAGGTCATCTAACTATTGAGAAATTTGAATATGATAAAGTTGCTGCGGTGGGCACTAGATTAAGGTTAATTGTTAAAAAAATATTTTAGTTACTTAAAATATTTTATCTATAATATAAGTATATCAAAATTTCAATAACTTTTATTTTCATTCACAACTATTTATATTTATTTTCAGATTTGATATAATTATAATTAAATTTGATTTAGAATAATTTTTGAAGAATATAATTGTATATTAAACAATATTATGTCCATGCATAGCATGGGCCATAATCCTAGTTATTTATAAACCAAAAGAACTTCAGATATTTCATTTGATATAATTATGACATGTGTCATAGATTATGAAATATGGAATACAAACCTGTTTTATGTGAAAATACCTTTTTTCTGAAATCGTAAATTAAAATATTTGTGAAATATTTTTTTTTCTTTAAAAGCCTAGCAAAAAATTCCTTATTTTTTCAAAACCCAAAAAGAATTGTAAAAGCTTATTTAATACTCCCTCCGTTTCATATTAAGTGTCGTTGTAGAGAATTTTTTGCGTTACAAAATAAGTGTCGTTTTCGGTTTTCAATACAAAATTTATTAATTTAATTATGTAATTTGTTTTTCTATTGGTTAAAATATGATTAGGTGTATGGGTAACTGTGTTTTTATATAGGAAATATGTAAAATTAATTGTTTTCTTAATCCGTGTGCACAGCTGTAGAGTGACACTTATAATGAAACAGAGGGAGTAGTAAACTTTCTTTTTAAGAATTCAATGATAAACATGATACTGAAAATTATTTAATTAACAAAGGGAAAGTGTAATAATATTATTGATACTGAAAAAGATGAATTTTGAAAAATAGAAAATTTAAAAATTTAAAATATTTCATATTGACTGGAAATAAATATTTAATAAATATATTTTCTAAATCCAATATAAAAGATAGTTGTAAAAAATTCGGTAATTTTAATTTTCCTTTTCTAGAATCATAAAAATAACCATAAATATTTGATAATATTTTTCTTTTTTTTTTTAAAAAAAAAAGAAAGAATAAACAAAAGATATGTGTATCATATTTCAGCTCTTGACCGAAATGGAATTGCAAAAAATTATTTGACAATATATTTTTTAAAACGAGAATTTGATGATGAATATTACTAAGACTATTTAGTTAATTAAAATAAAAAAATTAGGATGTTATCGTCATTTGTCATAAGAAAATTAAACACATGATATATATTTTCGTTTTGGTCATAAAATAAATTATTATTACTATTGTCAAGGTAAGTGATTTTTATATGTATTTGGTCAAAAATAAAATCAAGCTTCATCATTAGCTTATATACTTTTTTTAATATGTAGTATTCTTCTAATTTATTTTTAATTAAATTGTTGTTATAGAAATATGTCTTGATAATAGTTAATTAAGAAAATGATTTAACATCAGGTAATTTTAATAAAATGGCCGTATTGTTACTAAAAACTAAAAGAAGCGAGTAATTTGAAGATAGTAATAAAACACATAGGAAAACAAAAATCTGAACTGAAAAAACTAGAATAATTATATGAATTTCTATAACTCGAATACCACTTTCTAAAACTACCTCCAAAAAAATACCATAACACTTGATTTTGTGATTTAGTAGTTATTGTCTAGAATTTAGTATATAAGAAGTGAGGTTAAGTTTATAAAGTTTCCAAATGATATAAATAATATTGAATGTTGTATATTTAAAGTTAAATTATTAAAAAAACGTCAATTGCCTCCAAAATTGTGTCTTCCTCGACTTTACTAGAACATATAATAAACTACTTTAGAAATATGGTTTTCAACATGCACATAAAATTTTGTGGCTATAAGATGCAGGTATTAATGATTTCATTATCATTAATACATGATCAAAGTGATGGTCCAAAATAATTTCTGTTGGTTAAGCAACTAAAAATTCATTGATCATGCGAACCAAAATATATAGATGTAGCAAATGAACAAAAAAATCCAGGACCCTACATTGATAATACAAACTTTACTAAATGATTAAAAATATTAGGCTATATTAAAAAAAAAAGACTATCATATAATAAATTTATACAAACATTAAATTAGTACATAAGAAAATGTAAGATGTTATTATTGACTTGATTGGCCATATCTAAGTTTCAAAATTATTTTATTTCATTCTAATTTGTAATTCTGTTTATGTTCGATTTAAATTTTTAAGATTGTGTATTTTCTCTACCCCTAAATCCAAAACTGATAATAATTCACCTATGAGATATAATTTTTATAATCCAATATTAACTAAAACTTATCTGAGAAAAAAATATTAATTATAAATAAATTGCACACAAAATATGAAAAAAATAATCTTAAAACTATAATAAACGATTTTTACAAATTAAAACATCAAACTAAATTTGTGCAATGCACGAGTCCACATCGAGTTATAGAATAAACTATTGAAGCAAAAATTAATGTATAATAGCGTTATTTTATTTTAGAGTAAATTATAAAAAGAAAAATAATGTAAGACATTACAGTAAATTTTAAACTGATGTTATAATAACATGGGTTTTGTAGCATTGTAGGTCTATTGTGTTAACAAGCCCAACTACAAACAATATGCACATAATCTCTCAACTGTCAAGTTTTTATATGTTTTGACATTATTCGCTGATTCCAAAGATTTCTTCTTTTCTTTTTCCTCTAGGAAAGGTGCACATTCCACAGTGTGTCGCGATCCAATTGCATGCTGGTTTTTATGAATTACAAAACAGAATACAAGTCTTAAATCGAACTCAAAACAATGGCTCGTGAATCGTGATCTCCTTTTGGAAAACAACAGTTTTCGTTACTCTGTAACAAGACAACAAACTACAAGAGCAACATGTCAACAACTTCACAAATACTTATTGGGGATCTAACAAAGCAAATGAGGAGTTTCTGCTTTTCTGTTCATTAAAGAAAGGGGGAAAAGGCCATTAGTTAAAGGAACTAATATTTAATGCTGATGAGTGATGACAAAACTCTTTACGCGTTGAAAGTTAGAAACCTTCTTCTCTGGGAAAGCCTCTTAATAAAGTAAACAGAACCGTACAACGATTTATTCCGATTTATCTAATAATGGGGGAAAAGGTCACCGACGGTGTTTCCTTTTTCTTCTTTTCAGATCTATATGATTGTTAATCTTAATATGCCTTTTTATATTATGGCTCCGAACGGTGACGGCGGAATTGGTGTAAAAAGCGGTGCAGAATTATAGTGCGGGACGGTACAACTGTGGTTCATGCAGAATTTTAGTGCGGTACGGAACAACTGCGGTTTTAAGTAAAAAACGGTGCGTAATATTGTTTGATTGGTGACAATTCATCTTTGCGGTATTGAATGAATATTTAATAAATAAAAAAAAAATAACATAGAATATAGAATATATTAAAATAACATAAATAATATATTAAGAAGTAAATATATTTTTAAATAACAGTGTCTTAAGAGTGAAATGTGTTTGTTAAATGTGATATTGATAAAAATAAGCGACACAAAATAAAGTATTAGTAAAAAATAGGGATGGAAAAAATTTGAATTCGAAAAATCAAACCGAATTCGACTCAAAAAAGTAGTACCAAACCAAAATTGATTAAATATCCGAACGGATCAAAATTTTGGTATCTATAGAACCAAAACCGAATTCGATCTAAGCTAAAATATTTCAGATACCTGAATATTGGATGTTAAAGATATAAGATTTGTTCGGGTAATTGGTAAGATCCAAACCTAAATCAACCCAGAAAAAAAAGTTTGGTTCGGTTTGGTTCTCTGATTTTTGATAAATATGCACATGCTTATATTTAATAAATTCAGTTTGGTTATTATTTTGATTTATTAGTTTAAATATTTTCGACAAACAACTAGTTATTTAAGTGATATGTTATTGTTTCATATTATTAAAATTTATTTTTTAATTAAAAGTCAAAAGGTAACGCAGTTGAACTTGAAAACCGCACAATTATTAACATAAGT